GGGATGTGAACTGCGGTCGACTACATGGGAGTCCAGCGACATAGCCATTACGCTAACTGCTGGTCCCTCTTCTTGTATTTTTGATCCTATTAAAAAGTATTCCCAGGACCAGTAGATAAAGTAATGGTTATGTCACTGAAATTCACATGGCCAACCGTGGTTCGAGTCCCAGACCCAACTGCTTGAAACACACTAGGTGCCCAAAATCCTGAGAAGAGAATGGAGGAGAAGATTGCAGCGTGGTCATCCCCTTTGGGGGGGGGGGACTTTTTGCTTTCTGTCTCTCTGTTTCTCTCTGTCTCATTCATGAGCACACATGCCCTATAGCCAAAATCTCTCTAACTAAAAAAGTATTCCCGTGGGCTACCTGCAGTGTTGCAAAGATAAGCAACACTGTGCAATGCTGGACCCACGTGGGAAGGTCTTAAGTTCATGTCTCAGTCTCCCTGTACATGGTGGACCATAATCCAGGCTGACCAAGGCTGAGGCCAGATCACAGCATGCGGCGCCTTTTAGGGGTGCACTGTCTCTCTTTCTTTTTCTACTTCTCTCTCTCTCAACTCTGTCTCAAAAAAATAAACAAATAAATAAGTACACTTTTAAAAGTATGCATGCTCTCATCTACCCAGCCACTAAGATCACAAACCCAGTACTCACCCTTAATTCTTACTTTATCCATTCATTCCAAACAACACTAAGTATTGATTATATTTCCAAGATATTGCTTTAAAAATTATCTTTTTGTTAATCTGCCATCCAGAATGAGTAATGGCCTCTTACTGCTTCTTGTTTCTAAACTGATTCCCTTCATATCCACCCTCCACATTGCTACAAAAGCACTGTACGCAAGCTCTGATCAAACCATAACCCTGCTTAACGTGCTTCCACCTCCTGGGGGAAATTCTACCAAATTATCCTGGCATTCAGAACCCATCACTTTCCATTTTTTTCCCCACTTGTGTAGCTTAAGTCCTCCATACTCCCTTGTATACAATAGACTCCATGAACTCTCTTGTCTACTTCACCTCTTGTACCTCACGCAATGACTAACCCTAAGTAGGCATCCGGTCACTATTTGTTGAATAAATAAATACTACATTCTGATAACAGCCAATTATTTACAGTTGTCCACACACCTTTTCTACCCTCACCACACCACCCATACCCTCTGTATTACATACAGAATGGACTCTTGTTTTTTAACCTTCAAACCCATGTAGACATCATCTCCTCTTGGCAGATATTACTTATATCATTCTTATCTAGGATATATTAGGTATCATTTCCTTCATAGGTATCCTCTACTTCCTTCTCCCTATCTTTTCCATTAGAAAATGAATCCATTATTCCTTTACAATACTTCCTACTTGGGTACTTCTGGTATGACATCTATTACTGCAGTTATAATTTTATGTTTATAAATCTTCCTCTCTTATAATTTCCTTAAGAGTAGTCAGTGGTCTTTCCTCTCTGCAAAATGAAGGCACAGTAACTGTTTCAGTGGAAGTGAACTCACTGCCACTTCGTTTCCCCATCTTAAGGCATAAATTCCTAGCTCCCTACTGTCCAGGCAGTGCAGTGCATGGGTTCTTCAAAGAGTTTGTGGAAAAGGGACCAGCAGTTAGTGTAATGGCTATGTCACTGAACTCCCATGTAGTCGGCCACGATTCAAGTCCTGGACCCAGTGGCTTAAACTCACACCGGGCACATGTGCACGTGTGCCCAACATCCCGAGAGGAGAATGGAGAAGAAGAAGGGATTGCAGTGTGGCCATCCCCCCTGGAGGGTGACTTCTCACTTTCTGTCTCTCTGTCTCTGTCTCTCTGGCAAGCGCACGCACCCTGTAGCTAAAACCTCTCCCCAAAAAAGAAAAAAAGTTTGTGGAAAATATGTATTATGAAAATACTGTGCATAGATTTCAATTGTTTTACACCGAAATAAACTTGTACTTTAATTCTATTTTTCCGACAAACATTTAAAAGTCCTCTTACACGCAGGAAAGAGTCAGAAATGGGTTCAAGTTCTACTGCGTAATCAATTGATAAATCTTAAACTAATTAGTTACTCTCTACTCAGTCTCCTTACCTGCATAATGCAGATCATAATAGTTACATCGTTAAGTTTTAAAATAGTTAAATGAAATAATATTGTAAAGTATCTAGCAGAGTGTTCAGTGGATCTGACTTACTTCACTTTACCTGAAAGAAAAGTAAGAGGAGAGGTGAGAGAGAGAGAGGATGCAAGTGTGCATGTGCATCTACATGTATGCACGTGTATATGGCATGTGTGTGTATGTGTTGGAGGGTTTAATTTAGTTTGGGGCAGGGTAAGATTGAGGTGATTGTCAACTTAGATTATTTTCAACAATTACATTTTATTAGCTTTGCACAGTGGCAGTATCATAGCCAATGAGGTTTATCCGAGGCACGATTATTGCTAATTGAAAACAATTACATTTTAGTGTGAGAAAAATCATTATCTTTGACAAAAAAGAAAAATTTCTGATTTTGCAATCAACCGTTTCAATCATACAGTGGTCTAATTTCTACACAATCATGAGGAAAATTCACTAACAAAATAAGAATTTAACAAAGTAAACTTTTGGTCAACTCTAATTTGAACAGTCCAAGAGTTATAAAATATTGCTGCAATTCAATTAAAACTACGAGTATCACTCACTTTTATTCACAGATAAAACTGTTCTAGGACTTAACTCATTTTACATCACGACTCCAAGAATTACAGTAAATGGATATGAATGCCAGATATAGTGTGTGTGAAAGAGGAGGGTCTGAGGAAGGACATTTAGAAGAAAAACAGAAGGGCAAAGCATTAATAGGACAAAGAAATGTGGTATTATCTGTTGAAGATATTTTACAGTTTTATCAACTGGACTATGGAAAAATGTTCACATGTTGAAATATTCACTTTGTAAGCTAAAAAATGTGAAGGAATGTATAAAAGAAAATGAAATTTAAAATATTTTTTAAAAAATATCTACAGTATCAGAGGTCTTGAATTCACAGCAATAAGCTAGTTACTGATAAAAATTTTTCATCTGAATATTGGTAAATTCCATTGTTCCTAGGTTCTTCTGTATAGAGTGCTAATAACTTTCTATATTCCATAGTTATAATATGACTCACATTCAGATTATCCTACAGAAATTTTATAGACTTCCTTTTTTGTGAAAACTTATCAATTAAATGTTGTTTTGCAAAGGAGAGTTCACATGTTATATAATAGTCTTTAATTCCCTCAGAAAACAGGGCTCTGGAAACAAACATGTATATATCCTTTGCTAAGAAAGAAAAAAGGGACATAACTCAAGGAGGGATGCTAGCCAAATGATGTATGAGTCAAAATAGCTTTCAGGATGATGAAGTTAAGATATAAAAGGTATAGTGGTATTATTTTTATCTCTTTTCATTTCATAATCATATGAAAGAAGATAAAAATAATCCCTAAAAGGGAAAACATATAATATAAAAATAACAGTAATCATGTGGCTCTATAGGCCCCACTTTTGCTAACAAAGAACAGAAGAAAAGTTAAAGATTCCTAGGTTTCTCCTGTAGATAAAAATCAAATGCTGTCGCTTATTTTTTCCTGGCTAGAGGGCACATGCACTCACCAGAGAGACATGAAGAGAGAGAGAGAAAGTGAGAAATCACCCCTCATAAAGGATGGCCACACCACAATCCCTTCTCCTTCATTCTCCTTTTGGGTTTTAAGGCATGCATGTACATGCTCCCACCATGATTTTCAAGCCACTGGGTTCAGAATTCGAACCACAAAGTCAGCCATACAGGATCCAGCTGTCTTACCTACCATGTCACCAGCTCGCCCCTGCCTTTTTTT